GCTCTGTGATGGGCATCACATGCTGCCAACAAGCATACGTTATCTAATTAGTCGTGATGATAAATGGACCCTGAATGGTGATTATGCCGAGGAGCCTTTACAGTGTGTCTTTATTTCAGTGAGAAGAGCGGCTTGACACTTGCACCAGATGAAGGTCTGATATAACCCGCCGCTGAACGCTTTAATGTCAGCAGTGCTGAATAAGTCACTTTAACACCCGGCCACCAAGCTGCGTAAATGTCAACATTTCTGACTTCAGCTGACAAGGCGCCGGTTCACCTTGACTCGCGTCCTACAGAAAGATACGGCCCAGAATGAACAGACAGTTAAGTGTTAGGGAGCATTAAAGACTGTTGTCTCGACTTCATTTTAAATCAAATCAAAATCTTGTATATTGCCCAACATATCAAGTAATACAATAGATTTGCCTCAGAGGGCTTTACAATATGTACAGATGAACAAAACATGAATGAAATATACAAATAATCCTATGGCTAGGTTCATGGTAAGCCTGTGCCAGCCCTAATTTTCAGCTTCATCGAAAAGGAAAGTATTGAGCCTAGCAGCATATCTAGGGATGTTAAAAGTAAGCCTGAGCCAGCCCTAACTATAAGCTTTATCAAAAGGGAAAGTCTTAAGTAGGCTCTTAAAAGTGCAGGGGGGTCTGCTTCCTAAACAATAGCTGGAAACTGGTTCCACAGAAGAACAGCTTGATAGCTGAAGGCTCTTGACCCTATTTTTCTTTTTGAAGACTCTAGGAACCACTAATAATAATAATAATAATAAGCAATGGGTCATTAGTAGGGATGTAAGGGAATATCGCGATATCGCGGTAAATAAATGTCTCAATACCGTCGTGAGACTGACTAAATGAACCGCGATTTCTTTAATATATATTTTTTTAAACCTTTATTTAACCAGATGGTCCCATTGAGATCATCAATCTCTTTTTCAAGGGAGACCTGTCCAACATGGCAGCAAGTAGGTTACAACATGAACATAAAACAACAGATAACACAAAAGGACATGGCTACATGTACATACCTAGAGACATTGACAAGTACCAACAAATTCACATTTTCTTTTCTTTATTTTTCAACATCGCGATAAATATCGTACCGTGGACTTTTTATCACGATAGTATCGTACCGTGAGTTTTTGGTATCGTTATATCCCTAGTCATTAGGGTACTACAAACTCTCTTTACTGATCATTAATGGCTAAGAGTGAATTGCACTTAAGTCTAACTAAACTCAACCCAAACTTCAGCTCTACTTAATGACACACAGCTCTACTTTCATCAGACTTGATGCCAATTCAATTCGTCAACTGTGCACTCGTCAGGAGGGAAAACGTTCCAAGTGTTTCACATCACAAGGATTAGAAACAGTTACCACCATTCTTATTAGAGCATCAGTATTGACTACAGCAACCTATACAATGAGGAAGAATGTTGAACGATTTTGGGACTGAAAAAGTTGCCCAGACCCTCAATTGAAAGTAGATTATAGAGGAGATGGAGTCAGCAATTAGAGAGTAAAAGGTGGACCAGAAGATTTGTCAGTCTGGCAAAAGCACAGAGACACAGACAGAAAAACACTGCAGGGGAGAGCTTTACAAAGATGTCTTCCAGGCAAACTGAAAGACATCTGACATACCTCTCACTCACATGGGCCACCAAGCTGATAGTGCTAGTCCCACATCATCAGCGTTTAAGTGAAATGAAAGCCATATATATTACTCCTTTGTCGTCAGTGCTACCTTGAAAAAAGGGCTCTAATCTTTAGTTTCTCAAGTCTTTATATACTACAGCCAGGAAGAGAAATGCTTTGCTTAAGAGTGGAGTGCTTTCTGGGAAATGTGGTTTCGGACATTAATGTTTAACCACTACTAATGACTTTGGTTATCCGACCATTTTCCATCTAGTTCAGATGTAATCAGCAGTTATTACTGTTAGCTTCAGCTTAAGTTATAGTGCAATGTTTGCACTAACACCATATTTATATAAAAATAAAGGCAATAAACAGTTACATCTCTACTTTACATAAGGGTGTCTGCACAATCTCACATTACAGCAACAAAATCCTTCGGTTTTTGGCAAACCGAGTACCAGAAAATATACATTTAAAAAAATAAATAATAATAATTGTTGTTGGTCAGAGGTCAATGTTAGGGGGGCACTGGCCCCCCCTGGTCCCTCCCTAGAACCACCCCTGGTTAGTGGAGGTGCTGACAGGAGAAAAGTAGACATTTGTAAACGTCGTGTCACCTTTGATTTCCATTTAGTGAAATGATATAGCCGCACATATAAAGAGATAATGGGTTTTCTTCATTGCTCCAGCGGCTCCAGTCTCCTCCTATATAATAATTGTACAGAATATCTGACAAGCGAAACCTTCAAAGGCTATGAAACATCATTTCAGCTCTGCCGCACAATGCAAATAAGCAGGGACGACACAAACAGTGCAAAGTCATTAACATTTCATCGACACAAGTCCTCTTTTATAATTAATTGTGACAACTCCCGGTTGTATAATTAAAATCATGAATTTGAATTAATGAAGAAATGCAAACGCCTGTTCACTTCTTCCTCCATTAACGTCCTCCCTGTTCCCACAGTGAGTCCAGTTCAGTGTCTCTGCAGAAAGCAAAGATTAATGCTGCCCTTTCAAAATGTTCCAGGACACTCCCTCAGATCTTCGGTAAACAGCAGAAATATTTTGGCGACGTTTGCATCTCCTTCGCTCTGTGGAGGATCCCACTTCATTCATTAATGCTAATACAACAATTACCATTTAATAATGTATAAAACATAAACGCTGAATGGCTGAAATATGAATAGCAAATCATGGCAGGCGAAAGGAAGATGTATTATCATGCTGGTTTAAACTATGTGTCGCCAAAAGGGAAGAAAGATGTTAATATATATTTAAATTATAGATCCTGCCTCATGGCTCTATTTTTAGTATTGATGTCCTCCTACCTTCTGTTTTTGAACTCATTTGCTGTCCTGGAAGGAAGCTTGCATTAGTTTTTTAATACTGTGTTAACACGCTGCTGTGACAAAACAACGTCCCATTATGGGATCAATAAAGTATATCTAACGTTATCTGAAAATGAAAATGTTCTGGTATCACTATAAACGTCACTGAACAGAGCCTAAAAGCAGCCGATGCTCCGGCCTCATCTTTTAATCTGACAACCTGCGGATTAACCCAGGTTGTAGCGCATGATTAAAAAAGCAAGTAAGGTCAATGAACCAGCGTCAGTGACTCCGCTGTAATACAACAGGTTCATCTGAGCAAGCAGAGAGCTATTGAGCCAAATAAAACCAGGTCTAACAATGCATTTGTCACAACTGCAATTATGTTGTTCAACCTGCTCTTAGGCCTGCTGTAAACCTGCAACTAGCCAGTTAAATGGTAGAGAAAAACATCAACATACTGTAGCTCCAAGCTGTGGGTGAGTATGAAGGAAGGAGGGAGGGAGGAATCAACCCATGCAAGGATGAAGGGATGAAGGAGTTGATAAGTAATGTGGGATTTGGGTAATGGTGAAGGGGATGATGGAGGTAGGAATTAAATGATTTACGGCCCGTCCACACGGCGGCGTGCGTTGAAGCTTCAACGCTTCTGCCCATTCACTTTGAATGGGGTGACGTCACGCTTTGCCGAACTGCATTGTGGGAGCGTCGCTTCGCTTTGCTCGCTTCAAAAGTTGAGCAATGTTCAACTTTTGAAGCTTCGGTGGAAGCGTCAGCCAATCAAACCATATGCCAGTACAAGCTCTAGCCAATCAAACCGCGTGCTTGTGTGTCCGGGGCGGGAGATTCATGTGATTGGTTGTTGGTCGAGTTTCAGACACGCCCACCGGCAAGCTTCAACGCACGCCGCCGTGTGGGCGCTGCGCTAGGGGTGGATGGGTGAGGATGAGGATGAAGGGAGTGAGGAAGGAAGGGATAAAGGGAAAAGATGAGGGTATGGTGAAGGGATGAGGGCAGTCCGGGATACACAGATCTACGGATGTTGGTAGGAGTGAAGGAATGAGGGGAGTGAGGGATGTAGGATTGATTTAGCAGTCGATTGGTGGAGGGATGAAGGGATGAAAGGATGTAGCTGAGTATGAAGGGATGAGGGCAATGAGGAAGGAAGGGATTAAGTAAAAAGATAAGGGTAAGGGTGAAGGGCAGTGTTTCCGCCAGACCGGTGCTGAAGTTTGACTTGAGCCGTCCCTTATAGATACTGTCTTTTTCCGTTAGTGAGCCGGATCATTTGGCTCGGCTCTCTTAAAGCGCCGGCTGTGTCGGCTCTTCATGTTACCACAGTTTACCACGGAGCCTCAGTTTCGCCGCTGCGAGGCTCTGGTGCTCCACTAGCACCGCTCATCGCGTCCAGATCGCGCACGTTCCGTGTTGTCCTGTAGCAGGCACCGCCGATGTCGGGGGAAACGATCTTCAATACTCCGAAAAGAATCCCACCAGACTCCTTTGCCCCTCCAACAGAGGGACGTCCTTTTTCCTTTTCGTTATTTCAAGCGATAAAAACTCTCGATCTTCTCTCAAATTATTAATATTGTTGGACGCCCTCGGCTCGAGTTCAGGGCGTCCCGAGCTGAATAAGGGCGTCAAATGACGGCAAGACGCCCCCTGTCGGAAACGCTGGTGAAGGGGGAAGGGATAAAGGGATCTGGGTGAGGATGAAGGATGAGGGGAATCGGAGGGCGGGAAGAACGGATGGAAGATTGAAAGGATGAAGGGATGAAGTGGTTGAAGGGATTAGGGGAGTGAGGGATGAAGGGATTCTCCCGAAAATGGTTAACTCATTAACTTCATTTATTTCCAATCTAACTAGAAAACAACCCCGTAATTTCTCTCTCTTAGTAGGAACCCTTTAACAACTCTCATGACCAAGATGACGGATGACAAAGACATGCTTCCACTTCTTTGAGAACGTCCTGCTTTATAAGTGAGACTAATTACTCTCCCGCTCATTTCTTTGCAGAGCCTCGACAGAAACATCGTGGTCCGCAGCCACGCCCGAGTGTCCTCGCTCACGCTGAAGAACGTCCTGTTCACGTATGCCGGGAAGTACCTCTGCAGCGCCGGGAACTCCATCGGACAGGACGAGCAGCACATGTTCCTGGAAGTCCGCTGTGAGTAACACCACTCTTCTTATATGTAGTTTATTTGTTTAGAGAGAGGCGAAGTCCCTCCCTTTCCTCCATGGGACCTTATTTCGGGAAAAGTATGTATTGAAGTCAATGGGGAGAGAAAGATTATCTCTCGATCCCGTTTGAATTGTGCCACAAATTACACACATGATGTTTGTCAATTTAAAAGATAATTTTGCAAGTCAAAAAAATAAAATGTGTCGTAAAACTGTGAAGTAACACTTGTTTTTGTGTGAAACCGCTCAATGAACTACATCTCCCGTCTCGCACCACACACCAAGACGGCCGCCACGTTGAAACATTTCACTTCTTTCTTTCAGAATGAGGCGGAAAGTATTAAAAGAGGTGAAAATCACTCCAAGTCTGGGCACGTTGAGAGCTGCATACACACAAGGGGAGTTAGTCGGTTCCGTGAGAGCCAGCATGCGGGACCGGGACTCTGGGATTTGTAGTCTTTCTAGTTGCGTATTTTTCAAAGTCTTATATTTCAACAGTTTTACGACAAACTGTGACTTTTTTGACATGGAAATGATTTTTTAAGATTGACAAACATCATATGTAATTCGTGGCATAATTCAAACGGGATCGAAAGATAATCTTTCTCTCTCCATTGACTTCAATACATAATTTTTCCGAAATAAGTTCCCATGGACCGGAAGTAGATGGGCGGGACTTCGCCTCTCTATAGTGTCGTGGACAGTCCCCATTGATCAACAGTCACAACAAACAGTAAATGGGCCAACATTGCTAATTTCCAGCTGTTGTCCCCGGGCCATACGATACCCTTAAAATCACAATTACTGTATTTGTAATGTTTGAATTGATGCATAAGTGAACCTATTACTAACAACAGCTGTTATTGCTCTTGATGTGCATTAATTGTCTTTTTACAGTTGCATTTCACTCTTAGAATGAAAGCAAACGAGAGTATCTCCTATATGTTCGAAAAAATCATTTTATTTGATGATTAAATAGATTTTTCTCCTTTTTATTAAGACTTTAATTGACAATTTTCTTATGTTACATTTTACAGTAAAATCATATTTGGCACCATTATGAATGTTTATAATTGTTGAATTATGTGTAATTTGGTCAATTATGTAAATCAGATTTAATTTACTTGGTTAATTGACTAAATTATACATAATGACATACATTTTCACAAAGGTTCCCTACCTGTTATAACAGTGTAATCTCGAAATAGAGGGTTCAGAATCGTACCAATTATATTTTGCACACAGACCCACTACCACACATATAATAGACGAATGAAGATCAAAGAATACGTTTCACTGTCAGACATCTTTCTAGTTGAAGTGCTTGAGTCTTGAAAATTAGAATCTTCTAATCTCCGGGGTTCTTTGTTCAATGGCATTAAAACGAAAAAAAAATGCGGTTGAAGGTTAATCCATAGGTTAATCCAATGTTTCTGTCACTTTGAAAAAATTATTGATAATCCATAATCCAATGTGTATGCAAAAATGAGAGAATACAAATTAGCTGCTAATGGTAGCCACCAGAGTGTCAATCATCAAAATCGACCAAGGGGGGCCAGAGATATGGAAAATCCACCCAAGTGACCCCAGAAGTGTTTTTTTTTTGCTAAACCTCTCTAAAAAGGTCAAATATCACTTGTTTTGCATCAATCTTGATACAGGGTACTTATTATATGTTGTACTTTGGATTCCTAAAGCTTTTAGTCTACCTTACCATCATTCAAGGTTAGTTTTCACTATAAGTAAAAAATAGTGTTTGGACGGACACTATAATTTACAGGTTTTTACCATATTCAGTCTGAATTTACTTTAAAATAAAAAACATCTATATTGATTCTGACTTTTCTACATCCAACTCACAGGTTTATCCTTACTTTGAGAACAAAGATTATTAATTTAACCCTTTTAGAAGGGAAGATATGGTCATTTGTTCTGGGAATGTCATTTTCGAGCCTGAGACCTGAAAAACAGGGATGGGGTTCAACAGGTTAAAAACACCTGTCTCTTGTTGTTGTTGACATTGAACAACAAACACGTCCGTGAAGACTCTTCAGATGAAATGCCATGTCATGAAAAGTCTGTGTAAAATGTCCGTAAATAATCTCAGATTGTAGAATCGCTCTGTGATTGATGATTAGACGGTGTCGCCCCCATGTCAGAGTAATGGTGCTGTAATCAGTGTACTTGGTGCTCGTGGTTTTCTCCTCGTGTCTCAAGTAGTGTTTCCTGAAATGGCTTTTTCTTTCTTAGCCGTTCATTTTAGCTGTAGGCAATGACCCAAAGCTTTTCAACAACAAACACTTGACAGACTAGACAAATATTCCATCTTTAGACAGAGTTCTGCAGTCCGTCTGGCGGTTAGTCCAAGAGTAAAGTCCAGGGCTGCACAATGAATGGTCATTTGATCCAAATCACAAGAGGGACTGGTGCAAATCACAGTGAGCAGAAAAAGGAAATTATGTGAAAGTAAGAATGAGGTATCGTGGAGCTGCAGAGAAGTCCCGGCCTAAAAAAGGGTATTCTACCGACTTTTTCCAAACATTGCAACCCTAGTAATCTCAACACATTATATTTGGTGCTTTGTTACTACTAATTTAACTGAGTGGCCTGAAATTAAAACACTGTCACCAGCAAATATCTTTGGAATACTTCCGTCCTGGCTGCACTTTCTAAATTCAACAACTTAATTGTAAAGCTATTTTCTCGTGCTATCGGCATTTCGCTTCTAAGGTGAAGTGAACCAGCATAGATGAAAGCACTAAACCGTTAAATGCTTTGCTTACATTAGTCCCCGGCCATTTTCCTTAGTGTTCCATATAAGGATTAACTTTACATTGTACTTACTTGTAAGGTGCAACCCAATTTGAGTTAGTTATTGCATATATTAACACATAAGGTTGATTTTACACATGGCTTGGCATCAGATGCCCTAAAGTGTGATTCATGTTTATTTTGGGGTTTAAATTGATACTCAAAAACATTGCTGATTGCCTTAATCTGTTCGTCATGTTTCCTTCAGATCTAAAGTGAATTTAGGTTTTTCTTAGCATTGTACTGACTGCAAATAAATGTATGTTGGAATCAGAGGAGGACAGCGTCAGGACCAAAGAAAGGTTTTTCTGCACACTCAGTGTCACCTCCGTCTTCGGGGGATGAAAGGTGGGCGAGCGTTAGCGGTATCACTGCGATTAGTTACCATGGAAACAAAGGTCTTAGCTCTGACATAGCCCCGAGGTACAGCGGCTGTCGAGGCTTTAAATGTGTCTGTCCTCAATTTATGTGACGCTCTAATTACTTTGATCTTTGAACATCAATAATGTAGAATAGAAAGCCTGTGCAACCAGGCCATTGACGTTTTTTTAAAGATATTATTTGTACCTGTATATTACCTTTTATTTACCTATGTTCTATAAGAGACTGCCAAGTGTTATGAGCTGAGAGATATGACCATCAAAGGGGCCGTATTGTGCTTTTGGGGGGCTTTCCCTATATAGGTTTGTGTGCATGTAAATGGTCTGCAGAGGCTAAAATCTCTGAGTTCCCTCCAGGCTGAAGTTCATTCTCCCCATTGCTGTGCATTAATTTCACGAAAGTAATTTAGCATAATCAAAACATGTCCTTGGAAAGATTGGACGTGCCCAATGGGAGCCAAACAACACTTGATCTCTTCTTGAAATCTAACGAACCTTGGTACAAAAGACAGCGATAAATAAAGCAGATTAACACTTAATTGGATTAATATGCCGTCCTCTCAATGTGTCAGCAATTTGCTCAGAGGAGATATAATCACAATGCAGCGTTGATAGAGCTGTTAGCAGTTAGCTCAAGTAATCAGCAAGTAATCAGGGTGCTGATTCGCTGTTGCCAAGCAATTATCGATAAGAAAAGGTGCTTTGTCTCGAGCACGGCTCTCACTCTCTGTCCTCTCTATCGCCCACTCTCACAATGAAGACGTTATCAAAGCGTGGAACTCACAATCTGCTGCTCAGCGTGATCCCATTAGCTCAGCGTGTCCACGATGCTGCTGCCGCTCTGATAGGAAAGTGTTAATAAGTTCTCTGTTTGAGCTCCTCGCGGCTCAGGTTTGTTTAGCATGATTGTCTGAAAGCAAGCGGGCTCATCTCCGCCCCGCAGACATTTCCACACCGGAGCAGAGCTTTCATGTTTTACTCCGGCAGCGTGTGTGTCTTCAAGAGGATCCTTATTAGCATTGGCTTTTCTTTACACACTATTTAAACATCAACAGAAAATAAAGAAAAACAACGAAGTCATTAACAATCAAAGATGGAAGTGGAAACACAAATGATCATCCATCATTAAAAAGTAACAACATTTACATACAAACAGCCTCACAATACGTCTTGTTAGCAGTTATCATTTCCATGATGATACCTAGCTTATTCAGGGTTGCCAACTCTCACGCATCTGGCGTGTGACACACACTTTCACTCTCACTCTCAGTCTCACGCTCTCTCGCTGCCCAAACTATTCTCACGCCAAAAACAAGATGAACGGCGATCGTTTTTGGTTATTTACAATGTTGAGTTGACAGCTGCTCGAGCTGTGGATCCGCTCCCTCCCCGCCCCCACCACTCTCAACAACGTTAACAGACAGCAGAGCAGTGGGAGCCGGTTGGTCAATCCCGACCCGTATTGCGCAGATCTGAGATCCAGTAGAAATGATAACAAGTAAAAGCCTGCTGCTTATTGTTCTACTCGGCCAACATAGAGTCAAAGAGTATGAGAGTGAGAGTGCGTTAATTAATATATGTGGCAGTTTGGAGTAGATGTGTGTGTGTGTGTGTGTGGTGTGTGTGTGTGTGTGTGTGGTGTGTGTGTGTGGTGTGTGTGTGTGTGTGTGTGTGTGTGTGTGTGTGTGTGTGTGTGTGTGTGTGTGTGTGTGTGTGTGTGTGTGTGTGTGTGTGTGTGTGTGTGTGTGTGTGTGTGTGTGTGTCATGTATAGGCCTCTCACGATAATTAATTTAG